CAGAGGAAAACTGACCCTGGAAGCAAAGAGATGGAAAAAGCAGGGAAATAAAGCCCACCTGAATCTGAGCTGGGGCTGGGATTGTCTGAGTTTTGTTTTCCTTTCTGACCAAAGAGCAGAAATGACAACTCCAGGACACAGAGAAAGCAAGAGCACAGCTCCCTTCTGACCCAGCTTGCAGGGCGGGCGGTGAGGGACAGGCAGCCCTTGCTCCTCCAGGATGGGCTCACAGGATGGAGAGTCCCAGTGGCTCCACAGGACCTTCAGCCACAACTGGGACAGGGCAGCTGAAAACTGGGGGGGACACTGGGAGGGGAGCACTGCATTACTCTGAGACACTGTCACAAGGTCCATGTTTTTAGAAATCACAAACATCCCCATGGCAAAAAGGCACCCACAGGAACACCAAGTGCCTCTGTAGGGTCTCAGAGCCAGCCCTGAGCAGGGCTCTGGCTGGACACCCCATTCCCCTGCCAGCAGAAAGCTCCTTCCCACCCTGCCATGAGGCACAGCACCAGATATATCTCTGCACCAATTTATGCAGCACGGCAACGCGCTCCCTCCATCTCCCCGAGACACCAGTTGGCAGATCTGTGCTGTGAATGTCACAGCAGTCTTTCATAATAACTTCTCCCACCATCCCATCAAGTGCAGGGAGACGGGAGTACCATCTGCCGGGAGCTGAGCGCATCCCTCCCTCGCCAGAGAAACCCTGACACCCTTCCCTGGGCCCACTCAGCCTCTCTCGGCGTGGAACAGCCACACTTGAGTCTCCCAAGTCTCTCCCTGAGGGGCAAACAGGTCCTTTTTGTCCCCCCAGCATGTCTGCAGTGATGGTGCTGGGGGTGAGGGGTGACCAGGTGCTGGAGCAGCTCCTGATGGGTGTTTTTAGCCATTTGAGCTTTTCCATGTCCCAGGGAAAAACACCAATAGCGTTGTGTCTGTCTGCAAGGTCCTTCTCTAAAACAAGGAGTGGCAGCACTTGGAGCCACCAGGGATAGAAAACAGTGTAATCTGATTTTCTCAGGCAGGAGAGTGTCACGGCCCAGGGGACAAAGGTCTGATCTCTGGCCAGAGCCAACCTCTGAGGCACGGGAGCCACAGCCAGGCAGTGCCAGGGAGATCACCTGGAGAGGATCCCAGCCCTGAGCCTGCTGCCACTTGGGGCTGCACCTCCAGCCCGTGTCACCCCCCAGGCCATGTCCCAGGGAGGGAGGGAAGGGCCTGAACCAGCAACAACCAAAGGTTTATCCCATTTTTGAATTCAAGCAGAGGAGGAGCAGCGAGAGGAACAGGGCATCTGAACCCAGAGCTGTTGACACAAGGAAAATCAGGTTTCCAAATGCTTTTCAAAGCTGGTTCAAAAGTGTTTCTTGAAGAAAACACTGGAATGGGAGCAGGGATCTTTGCAGGAGCACTGGGCATCACTGGGGTGGCAAAGCAGCAGCAGCAAGGCAGTTTGTACCTGTGTTTGCACAGGGGGTGGGAAGAGTCAGGGCTGGAGTGGCAATTAGTGCAGGAGAGAAAAATCTCAGGGCACTCCAAGAGAATTTTGTTGACGCTGTTGTGCTCAGTGTGAGCTGGGAAAGGCCAGTGTGGTCTTTGCCCCTGAGGAGTGAACGTTTCAGTACTTGGATAATGAGAAAAAAGGTTTTCTGAGGAAAAAGAAGTGAAATGCTTTTTCTGTCGTGAGGCACTTGTTTTCTTTAAGCTGCTTGCAACACTTTTCATAATTAAAATACCTCCAGAACGTCACACGGTGCTTTTTGATGCTTGCTCTTTGATTTGGATCAATGAAAATGTCCTGGGAGCTTATGGCAACAGCCTCGCTCAGCATTTTCTCCACTTGAAAGAAACCCAAGAGGAAAAAAGAATTTGTGGCTCTGCAAGAAGAAGGATTTTCCAAAAGGGCTATTCCACACCATGGGAAAAAAAAAAGGAGAGTGATAATAACCTCACTCCTGAGTTTTCATCAAGGCTGATTTGCATAATTAGCACTAAAATTAGTTGTTGTTCTGTCCTTTAGGGCATATTGCAAAGGGAACCTGGTGGGAGCAGAGCTTTACCCAAGGCAAGCTGGGTCCCCCTGGGGGTGTCCCCAGGTCCCCAATGTGCAGCCACAGGTCCCAGGCAGAACCAGGACTGACTTCACGCCTTGAGAGGCTCAACCCTGAGCACAGCCAAAGCCTGGCATGCCCAGACACCCCACAGTGCCCAGAGACATGAGAAGAACCCTTAGATTTGGATCTCGAAAACACATTCTGATCAAATCCTCTTGGGTTAGCACTGAAATCCGAGCGCTGCCGGAACAGGGAGCTGCCACCCCTGAGCCCTCCTGGCTGCTCAGCCGGGTTTTCTTTGGGATGTGCCCATCTCCCAGCCGCAGCAACCGTGCTCAGGAGTGAATAGTTGTGAAAAGGGACTTTGGAACCAAAGCAAAAGAGAAAATAACTCAACTCCAGCTCCCAAACCTGCGAAGCCGCGCTCACGCTCCGGCACGCTCGGCTACACGAGGATTTTATTTTTTTTCCTCCCCCCCTTCAACAAAATGTCAAAAATGTACTTAATGAGAAGTTCTTCTGTTACAAATGAAGCAGTAATCTGTCAGAAGGGAAAATCTGCTGTAAAGTTGGAGCTCATGCCCTGACTCGGTGCCAGCAGCGCTGGCAGCCGGCGGGGCCGGAGTGCCACCTGCAGCGGTTCTGGGGAACTGAGCCATCCCGGAGCCTGCTGCCGCCGGCTTTGGGGCTGCTTGGCGAAAAACAGCCCCATGCTGCAGCTGGGAGAGGGTTGGGAATCGTGGCAGGGGTGCAAGGCAGGTCATCAGCAAATTAATCAGCTCTGCCGCAAAAATAAGAGGTTCTTTTGCGACTCGTGCTCGCAGCGGAGACTTCCAGAAACTCGTGTTGTGGGGTGTGGAGAGCTCCTCGTGGGGATTCCTCGTGGGGAAGAGTCGGGGCACAGGGATCCGGTCCTGCTTCCATGGGCAGCACACGGCAAAACCCAGCCTGGCACCGGGAGGAGGGGATCCAGTCAGAGGCAGCTCCCAGAAAGATCTGCGGGAGAACATATGGTGTGTTTTTAAATGCACCCATAACATTTATTTAAAATACAGACTCTAAAGCTTGCCAGCAAAGCTTAACAGGAGGAAAGCTTGCTTTATGCTGGAATGTCTGCTATTGTTTCAGTCAAATCATTAGGCTCGTATTTATTTGGGTTTAGGCTAAACAAGTTGGGAGTATTGCAGGCAGAGCTGCCTAAGGATTCCCCTGCCTGCAGGATCCCCAATCCAACCTGCCTGGCTCGGTGATGTCCTCCTGGCTCAGGGGGCTGCCAAACCCAGCCGAGCTCTCTGTGTCCTGACGCAGTCCCTAAGGCAGAAATGTCCCTGGCTCCGACAGGGAGCAGGTCCCGGAGGAGAAGCTCATCCCAGTGCGTGCCCTCCTGGCTGCCATGGGGAGAGGCTGAAGCGCAGGTGGGAGCCGAGCTTCCGAGTGTAGCCCAGCCTGGCCAGCCCCGCGGCTTCGGCAGCCGCATCCTCCCGTGCTGGGGATGAATCAGGGCCCGGCAGGCGGGCAGGGGCTCCAGCAGAAGGCGACAGTGGCATTTCGGCTCCTCCGGCCGGCCCGGCGTGGAAGGAAGCAGCCGGATTGCCGCAAGGCACGGGGGCACCCCCGGGATCTGTCCCCTCTCCTCCGCCTTCCGCTGCGCTCTGCCGGCACCTCCCGCGGGCACTGCCAGCTCTGCCAAGGACAGAGGGACCAGGAATAGCAGGAGACGGATTTCTCATCCCCTCGGTGCCGCGGTGCCCAGGCCTGGCACGGCGATGCTGCTCCACAGGTAGCTGGCGCGGGACAGGTGACATTTTGCGGGCTGTGTCCCTCGGCTTTGTCCCATCCCACGCTGGGAAGGAGCCACGGGGAGAGCCCAGGGCTGGCGGCACCCCCGCTTCTGCCGCAGGCTCGGCTCTGGCTGCCCAAAGGCAGCGGCACCATCTAGAGGAGAAACGGGCCCCGAGCTCAGCCCGCAGCCAGCAGGCACAGGGGCTGCAGGAGAAGGGCAGCCTGGTCATGAGTGAGCGGAAAATCCTTCCTGGAGGCGCTGTGTGAGGGCTTTCAGGGTCTCATGGGTGAGTCCAAATGGCCCATCTATCCCAGAGAATGGGAACAGGGGGATAGGATTCACAGATCCTGCCTCTGCCTGCTTTACATGCTACTGATCTCTGCTGGCTGCAAGGAACAGGGCAAAGGAGAAGAGAAAAAATAAATTAAAAATCCCCAGCCTGCAATCAGGCTGACCACACACCCCCGAGCTGGGAATCAACAGCCCTGAAAACAATTTTGTCGCTCAGCTGGACCTGTATTACTGCTCTCCCTCTGAACAGATGTGCCAGTGACACTCACGAATTATCACAACAGAGATTCGAGGGGGTGAGGAAAAGCCCCCCCTCTCCCCACCCTGTGTTCCCCCTTCCCCACGGTGCTGAGGCCAAGCCACTGCCCAGCATCCAAACAAGTGGCAAGCACCCGATCCCTTGTGCTGGGGATGTCTCCAGACAGAGATTTTGGGGAGCAAACCCTCAGGGCCATACCCACATGTATCCAAAGGAAAAGGAGGCTGCACTCCATGGGGTTGGCTGTGCTGACAACACCCACCAGTCACGGATGGCCCAGCTCCCGGAGCAGGGGCTGCCCTGTGCCACCCACCAGCTCACCCACCGCCTTCCCTGTGGCAGCTGGATGAGCCCGTGCCTGGGTTTGCAAGGCGTGTGAGTGCCTCACCCTCCCCTGCAGCCTCCTGCAGCACAAGGGGATGTAGGAGCTCCAATCTCACTGATTTCAGATTTTCTATTTGCACCACTCAGGCCCCTGCCGGCTGTGCAAGTCACAAGGGAGCGTTGATCATATCCCAAACACAACCACTAACACGTCTCAGCTCTCAATCTGCCTCGTTTGCTGACACCCAGTTTTCTCCTCCTCCTCCTCCCACCAGCTCCTCGCAGCCGGTTCCTTCCTCCCAGCACGTAGGGCTCAAGCTGCTCCGGCTTTCCCGTCCCACGCAGGCACACACAGCCCGAGGTGCTGCCTCCGCACCTTCCCTTCCCTGCCCGTGGCTCTCCTGAGCTCCAGCCAAGCAGGGGAGCCTGGCTAAGGGTCAGAGCCAGCCCTCGCCCTGTACAGTGTGGGATGCAGCAAGGAGAGAGCAAAATGGAAATCACCTCAGGTAATGGGAATGGGCTTTCTTCCCCCTCTGATTCCTCCCGGCCACTTGGGCAGTAACAAGAATTTGTGTGTTGTTGAGCCACGGTTTTGGTGAAGGTTTGTAGCCCCACATTGTTCTCTCAGCATCTCAGTGGGCCAAGGTGTGCTGGAAGGATCACAGAGGGTTTGGGTCATTCTCCAAGGAGCCCAGACCACTGCCAGGGGATTCAAGATCAGGATGAGGAAACCATCAATGCCAGCAGCACAAGCCCCATCCAGGAGAAAGCACATCACATTTTCCTTAATGCTTCCTAGGGCAGGATTTGGTGTCCTGCTCTGTCTCCAAAGCTGTTATGGATCTGTTGTACTCCAGGCATTTGCCCAGTCAATGTTTCTCCATCACTGACAGCTCTGCAGGATGGGAGGGTGAATCTGCACTGCACTCAGTCCCATCACTGGCCATATGGCATGGCCCTAAAAGCCTCCTGAGCAGCAGGAGGACATGTGGAGTGTGAGCAGATGCAGCTTGCATGAAATTGGGGTGCTCCTGCCCTCCTCACCTCTGGGCTGGTGCGCTGGGAGGTGCCTTTGGCCCACTGGGAGAACGGAATGAAGGCTGGGGGAAAAAGAAATACCTCAAATAACTATCAGCCTGTTCTCCAAGCACTGCTCCAGCCAGCCTGGAACTGCTCCTGGGAGGTTCCTTCACCCTGCAGAGCTGTGGGGAGGCTTTGGCTGCTCTGCTGAGAGCAATTCACTCTGTGCTGCTTCGCTGGAGAAGAGCCCAAGCCAAAGCATTGCACAAACCCCCAGCTCAGCGTGTTTTTTCAGCCTGATGAAAACTCAAAACAGGGGTGATGTCTGGCTTGATCTAAAACTTATTTAAGGAAGCGTTTTAAGCACTGAACCAAACACAGGAGCTATTTGCAAACCCTTGATCAAAGCCACTGGTGCAAAGAGCACTTGGCAGCTGCAGGTGCTGCTGGAGGAGGCTGTGCACCCTGGCCCTGGTGGGACTGGACAGGCAGCATCCCGTGGTGGCTCCGTGGGCTCAGCCTGCTCCACAGGGACCTCACATTTTCATTGTGCTGCACTTTGGACAGAGACTTTGAACCCCTGCCAGCTGCCCTGTTGTGAATTCACTGCAGAGAGGTTTCACTTGTTTGCAGCCAAGAGTCCGTGGATGCTAAAAATAGAGCACTCCTTGAAGGTGATCTGAAAAGCTGAAGCTGCCTCTTAAAAACATCGGTTTAGAGCTAATGGAGGCCGGGACAGTGCTCAGGATGGCTCTGCTGGGAATCAGGAGTTGCTCCACAGAAGGAATCCAACAGCCTCTGCCTCAGAGGGGGCTGCAGGGATGCTCCTGGGCGAGCAGCAGGTCAGGAAAAGCACTTCTGTAAATGCAGGACCTGGTAATTGCAGGTGGACAAGTCCATGGCTGTGCTGGGATTCCTCAGCAGAGAGTCAGAGAAGCAGTAATGAGGGCAGCTGGAGCATGTTGTGTTTTCTTTCCCTCCCCCTGCCCCATTAAAGCTCTCAACAACTGCAGCACAAACTCAAAGCAGTTTTCTTTTGAAATATAAAGTGAGTGCAGCATCTCTGTTTCACTCTGGCTTTTCTTCATGTAGCAGGGCAAGTATCTATCCCAAGGTACATCTTTGATCCTGCCCTTTAAATAGGCCATTTAAAGGCTCACAGACCCCTTTTCATCACCAGCCACCTTGGCTCATGACACCAAATGCCCGTGTTTATATCCTGGCTCGTGGCTGGAATCAAAGTGTTGCTGTGGGAAACTGCACATGGTTCATTAAAAAGTAGAAAAAAAGCCTGACTTTCTGTCCCTGAATGAATCCCCACGTGTTTGGCCGTGCTCCCAAGCCCTGAGGTGCAGGAAATATCCAAGCACTCGTGGTGCTGGCAGGGCTTGGCACCCAACATCAACGCTCAGTTCCAAGTGCTCATCCCAAAAGGAATGGACAGGTGGGAAGAGGTTGGTCACTACTCTGACAACACCTCAGTGACCCCACAGAGACGACAGCAGTGTGAGGAGCTGCTGCAAAAGGAAGAGCTGACCTCAGGAACGCAATGAGAGGTGGCCTAAAACACAAATGTGCTGCAAAACCTGGCAGGTTTGGGGCAGGAGCTGCTGCCTGTGGATGCTCATTCTGCAGTCCAGAGATGAGCAGTGGCTCTGGAGGAATCCCAGCTGGTATAACCTGGGACAAAACCAGCACAGAGTCTCCGTTTGGTGGTTTGAGCACCACAGGACCAGTTTGCCCTTTCTGGGTTGGACCCACAGGTGAAAGAGCATCCCAGAAAAGCCACCCAGCTCTGGCTTCTCATATTCTCGTGTTCTCCCCGAAATCCCAGGAACTGGAGACTGAGCCGATAAGAGTCTGACACCTAATGGGCACAAGCAGAATTGTGACAAGCACAGGAGCCAGCTGGAAGCGTCCTTGTGGGAATACTGACAGCACTGCCTCCGAGCAAAGCCCGCGGAGATGGGCAGAAAGGAGGGATTTGTGTAAAGAAAACTCTTAAAAGCCCACACGGCCCATGTCCAGGATTGTAAACATGAAATATTTATCATTCAACCTAGATAGGAATGAGTCATACAAAAACCATTAAAAGGTTCCAGGTACAGAATATGAGAGAGAGGCTGTCATTTCCTTTGATATTTTAGAGGTCTCTGCCACATGGTAGCAAAGAAAGGTCAGGGTTACAGTTTAAATTCTTGGCACTAAATTGTGTTTTTCACTTTGTCTTCTTATGCCAGAATTAACAAGAATGTGGACAAAATATGTGGAATTAACAAGAAAAGGGACATCTTCCAAAGCAATGAGCTGTGCCCCACAGAGACCTTCAGCTGCACTTTTATAAGAGTCAGTGATGGGAAGCCCACCAGGATTGACTCAAAAATGTTAAATGCACTCTGTAACCTGCCTCTTTGCTAAAATTACACTTTAATTTGCTTCATGGAGTCAGATGGTTTCTTTCCTCAAAAAAAAAAATCTGTCAACCAAAGGTGATTTACAAATACAATGTCTTCCAAGGTGAGACAAAGCACAGCTTCCAGCACTGAGCTCCACCAAAAACTGCCCTTGAACCTCCTCTTGCCTCAGGTGCTGCTTCCCTGGGCAGCATCCAGCCCTGTTAAAAGGAAGCTCAGACCATCTCTGTTCCATTCAGAGGGTAAACAGAAATGTTTAATACCCAGCACTGTTTCCTGGCAGCTTTCACAGGCATCTCTTTTCCCTTTTTTTTTTTTTTTTTTTTCCTAAATTAGATCTTTCTATTATAACTTCAAGGCCTCATGAGTCTCCTTGGCATTTATTAAATAACAACTAAAGTCTTCAATTTGCCATGTTACTACATGATCCAGTTGTTCTCCATCTAATAAATCATCTGAGATCAGACTGAAGGAGCTGAACAGGGCAGGGAGATGTTGGAGCAGGGCCAGCACTGGGTATCCTGAAGTTCAGTACAGCATGTGAAAAAAGGACCCTAAACATTGAGGGTGAGGGAAAATCAGATTTGGCTCTGTCCACCTCCTTCCTCCGCTGCTTTTTCCCAAAAAAACTCAATGATCACAGCAGGATTGTGCTGTTGTAAATGAGTTTTGCCCCAAAACCCCAAGAGGTGCTTGGGGAATGCAAAGGAGAGGAGGAGAGGGTTTGTGGAACCCGAGGTTGACTTCCCTAGGCATGGATGTGCCCTCAGCCTGCATCAGTTGTGACCCATTTTCCCAAAAACCAGCAGCACAGCAGACATGGCTGATGTTTTAACATAGCTCCATGTAGGAATTTTAATTGGCCACGAAGCCACAGGTTACCCAACAATAAAATCTGCCCAGTGAGTCCTTTTATTCCTGCTAATTTGGTTTTAGTCTTGTCCTTTCTCTCGCTGGGAAAAAAAAATAAAAATAATAAAAGCCATCACCTGAGCTGTGATTTCAGGCTCTGAGGTATCCAGAGACACCTGTAATGAGCACCTATCCCTGCAAACAGGAGGAGCAGATCTGGAGGTCGGGGGAGATATTTCATTTTGGAAATGTTCCCTTGCCATTCCAGCCATTCTAACGAGGGGTCCAATTAGTGCTCGTGACTTTGTCATCTGTCCAGCGGGGAGGGGGACCACTGCTCTCATTTCCACCCAAGATCAGGGATCAGGAGGACAAATCACCCCTAATGGCACCTCGGGGAGAGGCTCTGCTCTTCTTTCAAGTAAAAGTGGCACACAGAGCCACAAATGCCACCTCAGCTGGGGACAGCAGAGCTCTCCAGCAGCAGCAGCAGCCTCCCCCCTCCCAAGCAACTGCATGTGCACAAAAACATTTATCAGGCTTCTGGCCACAGCTTTGACTTTAATTTTATTTTAAAAGTGCATTCACATGTAAATTGGCTTGGCCCGGGAGGATACAGGAACACAAGAGCCTTTTATTTCCTCTGCCGCAGCGCTCGGGAGGAATATGGTGAGCGAAGCAAAGTTTCCTCACCTCCAGGCTGCAATTCTGCAGTGAAGAAAAAGCAAGTCCATTGTTTCCTCCTGCACACAGCTGCTGGCTGTGCTGTTTTCAGCAGTCTCGTTCAAGCGAGCCAGATCAGAACATAAAAGCATGTTACATATCCCAGGGACAAGAACACACAGGCAAATGTCTTATCGGCTCTGTATTATCTGTTGTAAGAGCAAGAGATAAATTAATAAGAGTTTGTAACTGTGTCTGGTGATTTGCAACATGGTCCTGCCCCACATTCCCAGGGTCAGACCTGGTTTGGTAGTAAAGGATTCCTGGGGGGGAGGAAAAGAATTAAAATGTGAAGCTGGAGATGAGGAAAGGGCACAGAAATACACGTGCTCCCCAAAACAAGAAGCTCTGAGATAAAAGCAGGTGAAAATCTGTTCCTTGCCGTATGTCACCCCCATATCTTGTGATGTGTTGCCACTAAAAGAGTGAAACACTCTCAGTCACCCCATTTCCAGCCTCCTTAGGTGCTGTCCCCCACTTGTCATCACCCAGCCTGAGCATTTCCCCTGTGATTTTGATGACACCCAGCCAAAGGATGCTGTTTTCCTCTGCATCATCACAGGTGTTCCAGCCCCACGGGGAAACAAAACGCACTGACAAAAAGAAAACAGGCAGCACGTTGGGTTGAGGCACCAGGGGTTTGTTTGCCAGAGACAGGGAATGGAAATGCTTGTGCAGATTTATAGACAGAGTTGTGACTCACTCTGTGTGTTTTAGGAATGAGCAGGTTGAAACGGGTGTCCCGATAGGAAGCATCCCACAGCTCGGTTCTGCTCTGGAAGCACAGGGATGACAGCACAGGGTTGGCAGTGTGTCCTCAGGGAAAACCCGCCTGCCAACAATGAATTAGAGTACCAAAACTTTGTATTTCGCTATATGAACCCTCCAACAACCCAACAGCTCCAGGAGCCCCAGCACCTGCTTCAGCGGCTGAAAGCAGAGGCCTTGGCTCTCTGCATCTCACTTCTCGTTCTGCACCCCAAACTTTGCGCCTGGGACAGCCAAGCATTGCATCCTGCCGATATTTTGAGTTTCCCCCATTCTGGCAGCCCCGCTGCACCCCGAAGGGAGCGGGTGGATCATCCCCTGCTCTGCGCATAGCTCCGAGGCAAGAGCCGAGTACCATCTCGTTCTTTCCGCTGCTGTTTTCCTGCTCCGCGCCGGGACCGCGGTTTGGAGCCGGGCCCTGGCCGCGGGGCTGCTGCAGGAGACCGCGGTGCCCCTTTCCCCCGGCGGCCCTTCCGTTACGATCGTTACCGGGCTCCCGCCGCCCTCCCTCCGCTCTGCGCCGGCTCTCAGGGCCAGC